GCCCCGCTCGCGCCGCGGGGCAGCGGCTCTCCACAGCTGCAGAGCAGCGCGGCCAGCGCAAGGGCGAGCGTAGGAGGCGGCAGTCAGGAAAATAAACAACATCTAACCGAGTCGCTGCTTGAAGAACAACCGCTGAGAGGCGGAGAACACAGCTATGGAGCAGACGCAACACCGTGACGCTGCCCCCACGCACACCTGAGGGAACGGAAGCAGCAGCGCTTCCCACCGACTTAATCCCCGCCCCTTTCTCCACTTGTACAGGGACCTACTTTTTTTGTCTACCATTCCAGGCAGACAGCTAAGAAAAAGCCTTCCCTTTAGTAAATACAAGCAAGGATGGGCGCTCCCACATAAGAACAGCTCAGCCTCACAAGAAGAGATGACAGATGTCAAACTAGAGCCTGTGAAGACACAAGTTTTAATAAAATTCATTTAAGGAAATTAATATTTAAATAGTTGTAGTGCTAATTAAAAATAGTGTGCCAGCTTTGACCACAGAGGGACAACTGAAGGAACACAATAGTTAGAAGGCGTATTTTTCTCCACAGCAGCATTAGGACCTTAACCTGTGTGCAATACAGGAAAATAAACAGTTTCAGCTCTGTGCTACTGTATTATTACTTACCGCACTGCAAAGTCAGATACTTGGAAGGAGTATCAAAGATCTCAAGTCTTTTCCAGTTCTAGGCATACAAAGATTTTGACACATGGTTGAAGGATCAGCGGTGCAGCAAGGAATTCTAAACCAGGAATCCAAAATAACGGATGAGAGTGCTGCAGGTGTTGGAGGTCTTTATTGAGATTATAGCACAGATACACTTCTATAGTTACCTTTCCACTTTTATACGATAGTTAAAAATGCTTGCTACAGTGCACATATAATTTAGTAACCAAGAGAACCCAAAACTTAACTGCAGTTCAAATAAATAAATAACCTAATGTTTAAAGTTTAGATTTTAAAAAGTAAAAGGAACTGTACAATATGAAAATATAACAGTACATAAACATTAGATTCTAAAGTTTTGTAGAAATAAAACTGCAATTTCCCATACATAAACAGTGCAAGAAATAAAATTCAGATAAGCTTCTGAACTGGAAATTTAAACAATTCTTAAGTTATCATGCAGACACAGCATTTTAAGCCATGCTGGTTTCTATTACAGCATTAATGGTATCCCTTTTACTTGAAAAACTGATAGCCATTAAGCTCACTGTGACAACTGCTGCCAATCCACTCTTCTACAGTACATTATACACAGAGGTATTCTGTTGCATTCAAAAAGTAAAATATTGTATGTTTCTACAGAGAAAAAAAAAATCAATATTTTACTTTCCCCCCCCTCCAACATGTTAGCTTGTTCAAAACATCATGTAGTAAAACCAGCTACATTTCCCCCAGTTTAGATGGAAAGAAAAACTCACACTTTATAATGAACCATAATCAAGATGTGGTTACTGCCTAGTCATCAAAGTTCAGAATTTTTTACTAAAAAAGTTGAAATTGTGGAGATGTTATAAAGTCTGACCTCTTGTTGAGAGGTAATGAATATAATAAATCTGAAAAAACAGTGGAAGGAATTTATCCTTTATGTGTGTGTGTAACTAGTTACATACAGACTTGATTAAAGTGTTGTTCAACTCAAGTTTCTATATAAAATTCTCATTGAGGCAAAGACCAAGGAATGCAATTAATACCAAACTGTAAACACGTCATTCATGTTACTTTGAGTGCACATCGACAACAAGAGTTCTCCTCATAGACTTTGGCAACAAGACTACAATAGGTCACAGCAGCATGAGTTCACATGGAAGACTGAAAGCACTGCAAAAGAATATACTAAAAAACACCAAGACCTCCTAGAAACCAGAAAAATCTGTGACAAGTGCCCCTCCTCTTGATAAGACACTCTGCTGCTCAACTGCTGCTCTCTCAATGCCTAATTGTTATTACTTTGTTTTTACAGTTCTGTAGTCCCAGGTCTCTGTGCTTTAGCTGCATAGGTTGCCTTTGTTTGCACTCTAGCCATTGTAGGTCCAAAGGGTTACAGTTCTGTCTGCAGAAGATGACAAGAAGGAAAGATCTTGTGTATGCCATCTGCACTGAATAACTTTGTCCTTGTGCTCTCCTACCACCATAAGAGGAAGCTGCTTCGTGAGATCCCCTACGACAGAGGAACAGAAATCATTAGTCATGTAATGAATTTATATCCCAGCTCTTCGGGCTTTTGGTGCGTTTGGGTTTTTGTTTGTTCAGTAAAGCTTACATATGTATTTCACCTTATGAAGCATACTTGACTCCTCTCTCACACAGAGCGAGAACGCCCCAGTGTTTTGGTTTTTAGGCATCACTGGACACGGCGTAACTTTAAAAATCAGGTATTTCCAGTTTTTAAATAACGTGATTAAAATTTAATGGTCCAAGGAAATAAAGTCAATTAGATATACCCAATATCTTCTCTCTCGACTCTTCCCAATGAAAATAAGCATTGTTATACTTTTTTTTTAAAGGGTAAATTTTATGAATGCTGTCTGAAAGCAATGGCCATCTCATTAGGCAGCAGTGTTAATTAGTTCTTTTATCATAATCAGACCCCCAGCCAAACAAGATTTAGTTCATAGCCTACATTCTCAGCGACACAACTGACCAATTGTGAACAGACACAATCACATTTATATACATTTCAAACCTTTCAAAGTTCTACTATTTTTCCCCTTTTTAAACTAAAACCTGATCTTTGAACCAAGTTCTCTTAAAACTTCGATATTGAAAGCACCAAACTGAAAATTAACCTAGTATCCTTTGTAGTATGTTACCTTGCAAGTCTGTCACCTTTATTTTCATATCGTATGATCCTGTGAGCAAGTAGTGTGCCCCTGGAGAGAAGCGAACAGAACGAACATCACTGGAATGAGGATGATAGCTCTGCACCATTCGTCCTCCTCGAATATCGTACAACATACAGCTAGAGTCCTCTTGTCCTGTAGCCAGGAGACGACCGCTAGGATCAACAGCTACTGAGGCCACAGCACTTCCTACAGGAGAAAAAAAAAAAAAAAAAAAAGGACAAAAACCTCCAAACACATTATATTTGGTATATTTGTGCAAATAGCCAACTTGTTTTTTTAAAAAACGAGAATATATATATTGTATAAGAATGCTGGCCTTAAATTTAAGGTGAACAGACTGAGCTACTGTTATCTTAAAATAAGAAAATGTTTACATTCTAGCACTTAAAAGCTTTGAAGCCATAGGTCACACTGGAATGGTGGCAAAGTCACTATTAAAGCTGCATGAGAAAAACTATCTGTTTCATCACAGGAAAGTAAGTCACTCTTTATGAAATAATGTAGAATAATGTAAGGAATTTCCCCCCCCATTCTAATTTAATTCTGTCCCCCTCAAGGTTTCAAGAAACAAATCTGAACCCAAGTGGTTCTTAAGAACTCCTTTGCAGATTTCTATAGAGTATGTCGACAGCTTGCAAAAATGGCTGCTCATTCCCACCCCTTCCTTTGATTTTGAAATAGTTATCTTGTGTCTTGTTTTATTTTCATGTAGTTGGAAGTGTCTCTTTCAAAGTCCTAAGGCAAAAAACTAGTGAACCTTTAAAAGGAAGTAATACTTAAAAAAACCCCAACACACCAAAACGCAGGTAAAGATATCCTCACAACTTTTCTTTGTGCGATACAAAATCCCTCACATTTACTCTATACTAGACACCTTTAAAATATATTTTTATGCAAGAATGATCAGAAGCACAACAGAAAATCTTACCTGTTCCATGAAATGTTGTTCCCACAACACGAACACAGCTTGGCACTCTCAAATCCCAGAATCTTACAGTCTTGTCTTGGGATCCAGATGCAATCATCCAGCCACTCCATGTATAAAGCGCTAAAATATGACCTGTGAACAAGATGACTTCTTTATTTGATTAAACATCATTAATCAAATAATGAAATATTACAGTTCTGATTCTATTTTTGCCTTCAGAGACTTAACAGTCCTATGGAAAACCTGCACGTTGTATGATCTAAAATGCCAACATTGTAAGGCAATACCCAGCTTTGCATCTTCTCTGGAATGAAGCGTGCACTCTCTCCATTAAATTGACAGCCAATATATTTAAAAACAAAACACTCCCCCCCTCCAAATACCTCAAGAGCAACCTGGAGAGAAAAAGACTTACTACAAAGAAAAGCACAAAGACTTAAAAAACCCAACCAAACAACAAACCAATTTTATTAGAATATAATACAGACTTAAAAAGCATGAGAGAAGCAACAACATACATACCAGTGTGACCACTTAGAGCATGCAGGCCTTGTCCTCGCTGACAATCTGTTGTGTAAATATTACAGTCTCCTGCTCCAGCACTTATTAAAATAGCACCACCACTTTCCGGGCCTTCCATAAATGCAAGGTCTCTGATTGTCCCATCGTGCATGCTGAACTCCAGATCTGGTCCTAAAATAATTTAAAAATTGAGGAACAAAGTAAGGCATACTTTGTTTATCACTGTTAGTGCTGCAGTCTTTAATGCAGAATATTTTAGACAAGGGTGGATATACTACCAAGTATAAACATTGTTGTGCACTTTCCACAGAACACACTATTTCAGTTACTAGAGTTCAAATAAAATCTCTAAGAATCCTATTTTTGTTGAGTGTTGCTTGAGTTTCCTACGGTTCCCAAAGCTTTGCAAAATGTACACAGATAATCTCCACTGCCAATTCCAGCCAAGGTTTATAAAGAACATTTACTTCTTTTTGTAAACTATGGTAAACTAAAAGGGCTTCCTCTGCCAGGAGGGAAGGATCATTGAGAACACTGAACCACACAGGACAAGGTAGCCCAAGTTCAAAACAAAAGATAAGAGCCATATTCAGTGCATTAATTAGGAGGGTTGGGCATGGAAAATAATATTTGCTGAGAGAGAAGCCTTAGACTTCTAAGATGGGGGAGAAGATGACAGAACTAGGCAAGAAAAAGGGGAACAGGACTTAGAAATAAATTCCTATTGACTGTCAAGAACCAGAGCTGGGTAAGAACACCTGGTTGTTTTACCAGATCTGGAAACAAACAAAAAAATATACCAAAAGACAGCACAATACCAGAGAGTCTTGCAAAACAAAACCAAAAAGCAAACAAACAAAAACCCAAACAAAACCCAAAAGATAAATCCCCAACCTCTCAGTGGCTCTTTGCTGGACAGAGACTACAGTGATGGTGAAAGGGAAGAGACTTAAGATAATCAAAGTATTAGAACAAAAATAACAAAGCTTATTGACTACATAATGAATACATAATTTGAATGGTTTTGCCAAATATTGGACAAATAATTGAAAATAAATTCTTTAAAACACACAAACACTACCTGTTGCATTACAAGTTTCTGCATTAAAAGGCAGTACTTTCACATATTTGTCATTAGAACCAGTAGCTAACAGCTGTCCACAGGGACTCCAGGCTACACAGTAGATTGATCCTTTATGATGCTTGTTCCTTTTGAAGCGAACTACAGGTTGTTTAGGAGTATTATAAGCACTGGAAAAAAAAAATCCATTTTCTTTTTACTTGTAAGAAAAACAATGTACTGTAAAATGAAAATATTGCTTTTCTATTATTTTGGGTAACATGAAATACATATGACTGTTCGCATTGAAACATATACATGTGATCTAAGACAAAACAAAAGAATTTTCTCATTTTTTCCTCATCTTCCCATTGTATTTGTGATTAGACACGCAAAAGAACTTACACAGTCCCTTCATCTATAAGGGGTCGATACAGATAAAATATAGTAATTACTACTTACATACAATGAAACCTTACCCCCAGAGTCTTAAATTGGTGAGACTTTCTCTACATTCTTCATACTTCAATACCTCGATCCTGCGGCCACTTTTGAACATGCCTGAGTTCAATTAAGCAACAGTATGCCAAGAAAGCTCCTAAGGCACACACTATCTATGGTAGCAGCCAGTGCAGCTGGCACAGCTAAAGGCTGGCTCTGGGACTAAACTATCAGGCTGCAGGTTGGAAAATCCAGATCCCTTAAAGAAGAAAGCAGAAGCCTGTGTAACCTCTGTGTATGTGTGCAGGAAGGTGTTTCTCTTCCAACTAGACATAATCTCCAACTGGGGATTGTGTTTGGTATGACAGCATAATTATATGACTGGGCTCCATATACTTGTGTTTGGGGCTGTTGTTGTGCTTAGTAGTACTGTAACAATAAAAGTTTAGGCCTGCTGTTTTATCCAAAAAGCTGTTGTCTGTGCCATCCTTGCTGTCAGATTGAGTGGGACTCATCAAGCACCGGCAGTGGTTTAAAGGATCAAGAAAAATGCTTCTGTTAGCCCTACCTGGGAAGACACAGAAAAACACTGCCCTAAGTCAAGTACTCTCTCCTCTTTGGCCGTTAAATAACAAAAATACATACAAAAGGAAAAAAATCCATACATGTTCATCATTGAGCTGTGCATTGGTTATTATTTGTTGAATAAGGTGACTCAAAGCTTCACTCATCTACTAGAAAAATCTCAAATAGCAGTCTGTGCAAGAAAGACACATTCACCAATGTATGTTAATGCAGGAGTCTTTTCAGCATCTAAACATACCACACATTCTTATTTTATATTCAACTTACACATTGCTGAAATAAAACAAAGAGTCTCATTGAGGTTGATTTCCTCTATTTCAATCAATTAATTTCCTACAATCTTAGTTCTCTGTTCCCATAGCTGGAAGTAGTCAAGTACTTAAGATAAAGTACTGTTGTATCCAATTCCATCAACATTCACTCTAACATCAACAATACAAATTAAATTGCAATTGAAAAATTCAGAAACCATACTATAGATGCTTGAACAAAAGAGGCAGAGAGAAAAAAGAGAAGACAAACATCTAAATCTGCTTAAAAACTTTTGAAATAAACATGGCTTTACTAAAGATACTAAAACGAATCTACATGGATGATAATTTTATTTTGTTGCCAGAGAGGAAATCCATGAGAGATTAGCTGAAATCAAGACCACCATTCAACACACACTATGGAACTTCCTAAATGGCCCAATGCCTTATATCACACTCAGAGTCTGGGTTCACAACATTTGTTAAGAGGTGGAGGCAGCAGCTGAGCATCAATGACTTTGTCAAGAGGTGGGAGCACCTGCCCAGCACAGAGCCACATGCTGCCAATCAACTGCGTGGAAGCACTGTGAGTATTTGAGCAACACGTGCAGAATTGTAATGTGTATCAATCAGTGTTTCACCTCAAACATGTGAAAAAAAGCACACCACTATTATACCCTTAGGAAAAAAACCCAAACAAAACCCAAAAACAAACCACCAAAACCAACCTGTCCTGAATCATCAAACTTTGATGTACAATTAAACAACTGCTATTTCCCAGATACTCTTCATAATTATAACTTTTTGAAAAACATGAAAAATTTTGAATGTGTCTAGACTCAAGTTGTTACAAAGATTAGAATATCTTTAAGATAATGTAATCTCTCTGCTGACTTGTAAATCCCATGATGAAATGTTTTTGGCAGACTGTAAGCACAGTGAAAAAAAACAATAAAAGGAGTAAGTACAAGTTCAGAATTAAGGAAATCTCAGCATTCCTTTCATATCCAGATGCACTACGTCACTTGTCACATCAGATTGTGCACTCTAACTAGAGACTAAAGTTGCAGAATCAATCTAACCTTTCCCAATGGTTAGAATAAGTTGTGTGAGAGCAGAGTTAGTCAATAAGGAGGTGTTCATTCCACTGAAAATGTTTTGCACTGTTTACTGAACAAGAGGAGGCTGTCTAGGCTTCAAGCCCACCAAGTCAGATTGGGTATCAGAGAAATCAACTACATTTTTTGTTTTGTTTCATACACTGCCAATAAATATTTTGGAATTAAACTTCAAAGGCTAACTTAAGGAGGAAAAAAAGTTTAAAAAATCAGATTACTTTTTGAACACTTTGGAAGCCTGAACATGAGTCCTAAACTGGGAAGGTGTCCCAGATAAGTCACTGTGCATACTGGGAGCTCCTTCTGAAATTGTGAAATTTTAGATGCCTGCGCTTCCCCCCTACTCCAGGAAAACAATGTAACTGGAAGAGAGACAAAGAGATGGTTATCAAGATGGCAATATTTATTTCTATATGAAAAAATACTTTCCCCCCATCCTATTAAAAAAAAACAGGTGAAAAGAAAACAGAAAAGTCTAGGTGTACAGTAAACCACAAATAGCACTTTTCCTGTCAAAGAACCAAAGTGTCAGGAAAACAATGTTTATAGTAACAACAGGCCAATAGACATGCTCTGGCAATTTTTGCTGTAAAAGTTGAGGAAGATACTGCTTTTTCCACTGTTAAGTCTGTCCTCCTGCCAGAATCTGCATCTCATGAAGCCCAACTTGTGCGGCTTGGGAACTGACATATGCTTTCAGCCACTTTTGCAGCTGGAACATCAAAACATGAAGCCATTACAGGAAACACAGAAAAGCCCACCTGCTGAGACAAAGATAACACTTTCCTAAGGAAAGGTGTTGTATTGTGGCAATGCATCTATGCATCTTGCCAGTAATGGAAGAGAGCAAAGAAGCAGCCCACAAATACACAAACTCTTCAGCAGATCTTATTTTTGTTTGGCAGTTTAGGTTTCTAAGGAAAGCATTGCACTATTTATGATAACAAAATAAACGTATGAAATGTACAGATACCGGCAGCTACAAGAGAAAAGTGCTATGCTACAGAAATGATTGTACAAGCTTTCTTACCTTGGGTCAATTACTTCTGGATAGGCACAAACTCTCAAAGTTTTAGAGTTGGAGCCAACAGCATATAAACTCCCACTGGGATGAAAGGCTACAGCTCTGACAGCTTGTGTGTCTTCTAGAGTATTAATGCAGATGAACTGCTTTTTTGATTTGTCATCCTGCGTAGAAGGATAACAGTCAAATTAGGTTCTTCAACAGCACCAGGTTAAACTATTCAAATTACAAATTTGTAAAACCATGTCTACTCCAGCTCAAGGAATGGCATACTTCAAAAAGTTCTTTTCTTCAACTCACTCTTAACTGCTAACATTAGATTAACATTTCTCATTCTCCTTCAAGGCTTCCAACAGCTTTTGTTCTTCTAAACAGCCCATCTCAAAAGTATGATATTACAGTTTATTTCTGTGTAAACACATTTTATCTGTGTGAAACTTGCAAGGGGAGCGAAGCTGCATTTTTACTGAAAACAGTCCAATTCATAAACACAGCGTATAAAACAAATATACTACTAAACAGCAGAATCAGATTTTCACCCTGTGTGATAACACAAAGTTATCATTAAATTACGCTAAGCTTTATTACATCATCCTCCAGATGACTCACCATCACCTTTCTAAAATTTTGATTTTTATTTATCTGATGCAGAAACTTTGGAATGTACTTATTGCAAAGTTTTTTCCCTAATGTTGGGCCGTACTGACTGGAGCCCAACAATCAAAGTTTCAACTTGGAGAACACAGAACAATGGTTGTAAAAGATATCCTATTGGAACCTCTACTGTACAAGAAGCTGAGAAAGCTGGAATTGTTTGGCCTGGAGATCAAAAGGCCTTTCAGGGTGCATGTGTGTAAATCTCATCACTGTATATAAATGCCTGACAGGAGGAGTAAAGAAGATTGAGCGAAACTCTTCTCAGTGGTACCCAGTGAAAAGACAAGAGGCAATGGACACAAACTGAAATAAAGGAAATTCCATTTAAACTTTTCTGATTTAAAAACACTATGAGGGTGGTCAGACATGGGAACAGGTTGTCCACAGAGACTGTGGAGTCTCCATCCTTGGAGATATTCAAAACCCAACTGGACCCAGCCCCAAGCAGCCTGCTGTTGTTGACCCTTCTTTGAGCAGTGGATTTGGACTCAGTCTCCAGAGGTCCCTTCCAATGTCAAAGGTTCTGTGATCCTGTAGGTACTGCATCAACCAAAATTAATTCTAAATATCTCCTAACAATGAGAGGACAACACATACTCAGGATTAAATATTGAATTTGTGAAAACACGAATTGTAAAGGACAATAGGAAAACTCACCTCATCACCTCTTGTCCTATTTAAATTCCCTGAAGAGTCATCCAGCTGTGGCTGAGTGACAGCATGTTCTGATACACTGTTTTGATTGGTGAAGAGTTCAAATTCACAAGACAAAAAACAAAAGCAGAGACAGATTGGTTTGTAAGTATTTTTTGGACTAAAGTTACAGTTTCAGTCATACTCAGAACTGACTAATTTATGTAGACAAGTGTTATGCGTGTCTGATTCTTTATCATTAAACTGTAATCTTTACATGAGGTTGCTGTTCTTGCAGCAACTCCAGGCATTGAACAAGTGAATACAAGTTAAAAATACCTGTTTTCGTTCCATAACATACATACATATACACAGATAGACACACACGTGAAAAAATGGTTGTTGCTTTCAGGTCAGCACTACCTTTAGTCAACAGAAGAAATCACTCGTGTGCTGTCAAAAAAATTTATAATCCCTATAAAAATATATTGAAAACACTGATCATGAGTTAAATACCCCTATTCAATGACAAATTCATTTGATAACAAAAAATAAACACAGCTACTCCCACAGTGCTAACAGAAGTGCATTTCTAGTCCTGACCAGTCTCACATAACTTACGTTTGATTCCCCTGTACAGGTGACTCTTCAGGAAAGGGTATCTGATTAGCTGATCCACGCTTTCGAGGAGTGCTTGTACTAACATTTTGGCTATCAGTTGTTATCCTCTGACTAGCATCTGGAGGCGGTGATGTAAAATTACTTGCTGGATTTGTAGATGCATTCCCTTTGCTCCCATTACATTGCTGGCTAAGTGTTTGTACATCATTTCCAAGACTGTCCATACCTATATTTAATTCTCCTAGCTTCTGGATAGATCTAATAACAAATGACAACAACAAAAAGACCACCAAAACAGGTTATTATGAGAACTTGAGGAGGGACAGGAGTGGGTGGAGGGAGAAGCAATGAAACCCCCCAACCTGTTAAGAAACTGTTCAGTAAGATTCTGCTGCTGGTCAGTTCCATCTTCTTGATTTACACCTCCTTCCAACAACATTTGCTGGTACAACTGTCGTTGTTGCTCTTTCTGTTCTAAGTGCTGCTGGTAACGTAGTCTTTGTCTGTAATATTCCTGAAACTGCTCTGTTGAATCACGAAGCTTAAAAGAAATGAGAATTACTAATGAAAATTAAATAGTAAATTGCAGTATTTAACTTAAATATTCACACTCTGGTTCATTATCTGAATACAAGCATCAAAAGGCCAGCAGATTCTCCTCTGGGGAGTAACGCTTTCATTCTTCCCTAAAATCAGATATAATCTACATATTAAAAAAAGGAAATCACTGCCAACCTATACTATTCACTGTTGAAGTAGTTCTGCCCTAATTCAAAGGCTCCTCTTTCCTACAAAACTTCCAAAGTATTACTTAATATCAAAACAAATAGGTGATTGGAAACTGAAAATAAAAATCAGAAAACAATTTAAGCTACATTCCAAAGTCCAAGTCATATTTTTCACTGCAAATTTAGTATTTTCTGCCATGTTGACATTTCTCTGCCATCAGTCAGAGGGTATGTTCACCTCTCCCAGTAGCCAACCTTGAAGTGGTCTATCCAAGTGCTGTATCTTACTCTTGAAACTTGTACCTTGTTCTAACTTTAAAATTCCTTACTTGCCAGACCAAGCACAAATACTTCCTTTTTCATGGCCTCTTCCCTTTTATGTACTATCTTTTTCTTCCCACACTGCTAGCTCCCCAGGACTCATGGCCTTCTGCGTTCCCTGATCCTCGCTTTCTCTCTCTGCCACTAGTTCCAAATGATACCATCATTTCACATGTTGAGAGCAAGTTAAAAATGAACAAACAAAAAACCCTATAGAAAACCCAAAGAACTTTATTCCAAGGCCAAAATAGCAACACTGAAAAAACCTTAACTGCACATTTACCAAAGGAAGAAAAAAAAAAAAAGTAGTAAATGAAACCTGGTGGATTTTTTGTTTGTTTTTGCAAGGGACATCTTTGTTATCTAGTGATTCTAAATTATATAAGGACATCCTGATAACTTTGCATTAGTTCAGACAATTCATGTAGAGGATCCTTCTTCATAACTATGAGCCTTTGCACTTCTTGTAAATAAAACCACTTGCATTATAATTCTGTCTTCTCTGACACAAGTTTTTGGTTTATAATGGATTTCCTAGCTCTGTTGCATTTGTAGAAAGTTTTTCACCTGAGATAAATACTTGCAATTCAGAAACTCTGAAGTTTATCTTCAGAAGTCTAGAAAGCATTCTCTAGATTTCAAACATGTGAACTATTCCCCAGCCACTGGGTTATAATCCTTCTAAGCAACAAGTATATTCTTGTCTATACTTCTTTCCATGACTGATACTTGTTTCTTGCAATTGGATTCAATCCTTTGATCCTTTAGTTTGGGTAATAATGATACAGAATCCAACACCTAAAACTAAAATATGTTGCTCAGATGCTCTATTCTATAAACTCTGGCTTCTAATTCAACCCCAGGAACAATGCTAAAATAAAGCTATGAAAAGAAACTTAATTTCTTATTCGCACAGGTATACACATTTACCACTGTGATGTGGAGAACAAAACAAGGTGAAATTAGACTGGTATTACATTTTTTTCTACTTGTGTATAATAGGCTGGCCAACATCCTCTGCACAGCACAGTGTCTCCTGTCTTCATTTCCTCCTATAAATTCTGCATCCTTTTTTTTTTTGCCTTTTGAAGCCTGCTCTGTCTTACATCTAGCTAAGCTCTTTCCTCCCTCACCTTCTTCCCAGTGTGCACACAAAACACTGTTGCAGCAGAGAAGTTACTCAAAGTCCTTGAGGGGAGCAAAGTCCTCAAGTTTGGTGGACTTTGTTAATCCTCCAGTAGGCTCTGTTGCCTCACTCAAGTATCCAGAGTCTACAACAATATAGCCCTGTCAAGACTAGACTGGTTTTCAGTACTATATAGATGTCATAAGCCAAGACAAAGTTTACTTAAGAAAAAAAAAAAAATCAAACTGGAGTCTGCAAACAAACTGCACACTCAGTGCTACTCATCATTACTGAATTAAGAGGCAGATATATAAAACTGTGGAAAGAGGATAGAATAAGTAACTGTTTTCATTGCTTTGTACTGAACTATTATTTCGCTTTCCCCATATTGTTGTTAAGGAGAAAAAAGGAAAAAAAAGAAGGATAGTCAAGGCACAAGCCTTCAAAGATGAATCCAAAAACCGGTTATGTTATTGGATTCTGAATAGCAAAGACATATTTACCAGGGAATTATCCAATTTTAATTTCTGTGTCCCAGACAAATTTATGTAAGATGACCTACAAAACTTGGTGTTAACACCAAGAATTGCAGGCTACATGCCAGATTCCTCTCTAAAATACTAAGAGGGTTCTTAAGCACTATTTAAGCTACCATTGCTGGCTTTTTTTTTTTTTTTTTTAAGATATACACAACAGTTTAGCAACACTGTTGATGTGCAAGAAGGCACACTAATCAGCTGCTTTAGATTCAAATGACAGCAGAACTTCATACAATGGGGGAAAAAAAGAGTAGTTTCTTATACAAGATGCAATATGGTATTTTCACTACAGTAAAAACAAGATTCAAAGCAACCCATTGTCATGCATGAAGTTCTCAACACAAAGGCAAATCATTATGAAGTGATCAGAACACAGCTCAGACTGCCTCATTATTTTAAAACAAACAACCACTACCTCATTTTTCTCTTGTTTGGCTGATCCCTGACTCTGTGCTCCATTAACTGGTTCATTTTCTGGAACTGAACTCTGGCACAAAGTCTCACTGCTGATGGGATGCTGTGGTTCCACGGGAGTATCACTTCTTGCAGCAACATGGAAGAGAAGAGAAGCTTAATTGATAAAAATTAAGAGCAGAAAATCCCCTGGTAAGTAAAGAAAGATAACATTCTAGAGTAAAATCTGATAACACAAGTAACTTCTTAAGTCGCATAAACCTGATGATATTACTTAGGAAAAAAATGTCCCTTGCAATGGGTTACACTAAACAAACAAACCCCAAACAAACAAAAAGC